AAGTCACAGAACTAGTTTTATAATACAGAAATCTCAATCCCCAGCCTGTTAGAATTAAAATGACAGCAGCAACAATGAGATTCTTGAAACTGCACTGGAAGTTGTCATCAGGTAGAAGTCTCTGGACTCTGAAGTCTGGTTACCTTGTCTTTCTAAGTGATTGCAAACAGAGGCTTCAGATGAGTGCTTCCGCTGGCAGAAGGCCCAGGATCTCTTGCATAGATAGTCATTGCATCCCTCTCCCAGCCGGGAGATGGGCATGTCTCTTGCCCCCCAAAAGCAAAGGACCTGCTGGGATTGGCCTTTTGCAACCCAGAAGCATAACTGGGCCCCAGGACTGCAGTTAAGTCGAGCTGTCCAGGTCCAGAAGGAAGCAGGAAAAGACCAGGACACACCACCCTGTGAGTGGAAGAAGAGACGGCACACCTGTAGGCAGTCCGCATTGTACACAGCTACGTTCTGTAGAGTCGTCAGGAACACCGAGCCACCGATCGAAGGAAACGGGAGGATTCGTTTCCAGCAAGCCCTGGTTCCAACATTTTGTCAAGCAATCAATACATAACCTTGTTTAATGAGTGCTTCTGTTTAAAGACCCTTATTTAATGTATGACATTGATTCATTCATTTAATGTTCATAAACTTGAGGCCTACAGCACACAGCTCACGCCTGATTGAAGCTTATCTGCACACTTGTTCTCTCCATAAGGCACATCATGGGCTTTGCCTTAGGAACACTAGACAGCACTCCAGTGCTATGCTCAGGGCCATTGCAAATAGCAAAATCACCAACAAAAAGCACAAAAATGCAAAACCATGGCACTAAGTAGACCGTGAAAAGGACACTTGTTTACAGCATGAGAACTGCATAAGAAGGCAGTGTCACCTTGTCTGACCTCAGCTGGGACTGTGTGAAGGTTTTGCCATTCTGCGCATGTCCACTAATGACTCTGAAACTGCCAGGGGCATTGATTATGGGGTTACAGATAAATTCTAGCAAGTAGGCAACTTCGTAATATGGAACCCACAAATAACAAGGATCGACTGTTCGAGCTGTCCAGGTCCAGAAGGAAGCAGGAAAAGACCAGGACACACCACCCTGTGAGTGGAAGAAGAGACGGCACACCTGTAGGCAGTCCGCATTGTACACAGCTACGTTCTGTAGAGTCGTCAGGAACACCGAGCCACCGATCGAAGGAAACGGGAGGATTCGTTTCCAGCAAGCCCTGGTTCCAACATTTTGTCAAGCAATCAATACATAACCTTGTTTAATGAGTGCTTCTGTTTAAAGACCCTTATTTAATGTATGACATTGATTCATTCATTTAATGTTCATAAACTTGAGGCCTACAGCACACAGCTCACGCCTGATTGAAGCTTATCTGCACACTTGTTCTCTCCATAAGGCACATCATGGGCTTTGCCTTAGGAACACTAGACAGCACTCCAGTGCTATGCTCAGGGCCATTGCAAATAGCAAAATCACCAACAAAAAGCACAAAAATGCAAAACCATGGCACTAAGTAGACCGTGAAAAGGACACTTGTTTACAGCATGAGAACTGCATAAGAAGGCAGTGTCACCTTGTCTGACCTCAGCTGGGACTGTGTGAAGGTTTTGCCATTCTGCGCATGTCCACTAATGACTCTGAAACTGCCAGGGGCATTGATTATGGGGTTACAGATAAATTCTAGCAAGTAGGCAACTTCGTAATATGGAACCCACAAATAACAAGGATCGACTGTATCGACCTTCAGAGGCTTTGGGGCCCTGGTGGTCTGTATCGGCAGTGTTCTTCACATGTACCCTTCTTGTCCCCCACTGCTTTCATTACCGAGCATGGCTCCCTGCCTCTCCAATCTACCCCCTCATTTTCCACGTGGGCCAAGGCTGGTGAGAAATGCACTCCTTGCCTCATGACAATTCCACAGCTGTGACTGATTGTCTAGCCGGCTCTGGTCCCTAGGCTCAGTGCAGCCCGTCAGGCTGGGGCTCCGTGTCTTCATTAGCTCAGTCCCCAGGGCAGGTGCATGGCTGCCTTCCAAGCAAGGAGACAGAGAGCCAGGCACTACTACCCACAGATCCTGTGCCATGTGAGGTCTGCAGGGGGAAGCCTTGGCTTGTCTTCCACCCAACCACAACCCTGGTTATGACCCATGCTCCTTGGGTGCCAAAGGATCAAGCAATGCACTAGCTCTGATTGCGGCTCCCACACCCTCACACCCAAGATGTATTTCCTCTGCAAGAGAAAATATCTTAAGAACAGTCAGAATTATCAACACACCTGGTTTTCCTTTTCTGCCCATGGATATGTATTTTGCCACCACCGCCACCCATCCCCAGGGACTCTTGGGCATAGAATGTGAGCTTTCATTCCACAGGGCAGATGCTGAAAAACAAGACTGGGTCAATTGTCCCTTCTCCATTTGAATCCAGCCCTGCCCTCCCAACTCCAAAAGGCATGTGGGTAGGTACTTTGTAACCACCTTGAGCACCTTGCAAAGTCATACAAAAGAATGAGTGAGTCCTCGGCTGTTTGGGCTCTCACAACCTCAAACCCACTCCAGAGGAAAGGAGCCGAGAAGGCAAACAGGTGCAGGAAGGAAGAGAGAAGACAGAGGGGCCTCAAAACACCGTGTGGGAATTGCTTTGCTTAGAGAGAACAAAGCCCTATGAAGTCACTGTCCCTGGAGAGCAAGGCCAAGCCCGGAGGCTCCCCAGAGCTCGGGGAAGGAGGCTGGCGGCGTCTCTGCACATCCTCCCGCACAAAGGCAGGGAAGGCGCAAAGCAAGACAAGCTCCCGTCTCCATTGTGAGCTGCCAGTCGAGCCCCTTTTCCCCGGCATAAAATTCCCTGGGAAGGAAATGGAGGTACCCGCTGGTTGGCAGGAAGCCCAAGAAATAGCAAGTTCAATCCAATTAGAATTGGATTCAATCAAATTTAAGAAGAAAATTCAATCCAAACCAGAGCATCATTAAGGCAGCAGTTGAAAAGAACTCGTTAACTTAAAAGCCCCCACATTTTCCCAATTAAAAAGTTCCCTAGACCCCTCCAAGCCCAACCCCATTTCAGCATAAAAATGGTCACTGCTAATGTCTGTGCTCTCCTGAGCAGCTCAGGCAAAGTGCAAACACTAGACAGCGTATGTACGTGGTGACAGAGCCACCCCTACGTGACTTGGGGTTTAGGGGCTAAGCCTTTTGTCCCCCTGTGGTTTGTTGGTGCTGTCTTTTCTTCCATGGTGTCTTCTCCTATAAAGTGTTGGCTTGTGCAAGAAATTCCATCAGTAGCCTCTTTTCCTAAACTAGGCCTTAGAGAAGGAGGAATCATGGATCCAAGAATTAACTAAGATGCCCAGTGAGCACATGCACACACACATATGCACACACACACACACACACACCACCACCACCACCACCACCGCCACCGCCACCCATTTCAGACACAAAAATATTCGCATTATCCCAATTAAAAAGTTCCCTAGACCCCTCCAAGCCCAACCCCATTTCAGCATAAAAATGGTCACTGCTAATGTCTGTGCTCTCCTGAGCAGCTCAGGCAAAGTGCAAACACTAGACAGCGTATGTACGTGGTGACAGAGCCACCCCTACGTGACTTGGGGTTTAGGGGCTAAGCCTTTTGTCCCCCTGTGGTTTGTTGGTGCTGTCTTTTCTTCCATGGTGTCTTCTCCTATAAAGTGTTGGCTTGTGCAAGAAATTCCATCAGTAGCCTCTTTTCCTAAACTAGGCCTTAGAGAAGGAGGAATCATGGATCCAAGAATTAACTAAGATGCCCAGTGAGCACATGCACACACACATATGCACACACACACACACACACACACCACCACCACCACCACCACCGCCACCGCCACCCATTTCAGACACAAAAATATTCGCATTACCTATTTTGGAAGACATGGTGCAGACTTGCCTTGAGAGTTGAGAACTAGCCTTGTTGATTATTTCTGCTGCCAGCCCTCTCCTTGTTCAGAAAGTGAATTCTAAGTCAGAGAGAAAATAAGAACAAAATCATAGGAAATAAAAAAGAAATAGCTATCCTGTTAAAAGTTTTTCAATAAATGCTTCTTCCACCAAATCCCAATCCAATTCTAGTTTCTGCTCATTATTACTTTAAACTTAATGCATCATTTAACTTTTATATTATCTCGATGTTATGTATTTTTTTATTCTGATTGGATTTTTTTAACTGAAAGGGCAGTCTCCAGGACATTTTCTTGTGTTTGGAATCCTCATTTATTTCTGTGTGGGAAGAACCTTCTTGAGGTTAGAACCCCTTCCAGGCATGCTAAAAGTGACAGATTAAATTCTAGTAATAGAAGAGAGATTGAGGGGGTTAAATATGGGTTCTAAATCCATGGTGTAAAGGCAAATATGTAACAGCTGGTTCTCAGCATGGAAAAGCCCTAGTTTACAGCATTGGCCAATTCCTGTGGTGTAAATATTCCCACCATCATCCATCTAAAGCTACCAATAAAAGATCACTGAGAGCCTTGGAAGAGACACAGGCAGGGGGCACTCAGGACCCAGTCAAGTCAGTGGGCTTTCGCATACCACTAGTCCTGGCCCCTCGTGTTACGTGGAGACCTTGTGCTAGCTGCCAGGCAAAACTGGGTAGGATGGAAATGCAGGTACCCTCACTGCTATAGAGGTCTCGTTAGTGACTGTCTAGAAGGGGTGTCCAAGTCTCTGGAGAATAGTTGTTATTAAAAGACAAAGCCTAGGGTCATGACTCAGTAAAAAGGGGGTTGGATCTCATCCATCCTCTTCAACTTTGACAGTCTGTGTTGAGAATGCCCCGTTAGTAACTGTCTATGTGAGAGGAAAGATGAACCCAGGTGACCATAGAGAAAGCGGACAGTCGGGGCACGTGGGCAGGCATCTCAGTTCAAAGCCATTAACACCGTTTCCTTTATCTCCATCTCCCTTCCATGCCGACTCTCCGGGCACTCTCCTGCCCTGCCCACTGCCCTCTCCCATCAGAGAGTTTTCCAAAGAGAGGGAGAAGGCCAAGGCACGGGGAGATTTCCAAAAACTGAGAGAGAAACAGCAGCTGGAGGAGGATCTCAAAGGCTACCTGGACTGGATCACGCAAGCTGAGGACATTGACCCCGAGAACGAGGATGAAGGCATGGATGAGGAGAAACCCCGAAACAGTGAGCAGCATCTTCTGTCTTTGGGCCGGGTTCTGGGACAGCAGCGAGGTCCGTGGAAACCCTTTACCACCTACTTTTCTTTACAGCCATAGTTTGACCTGGTGCAACTTTGATCTGGCTGATTCCATCATTTGCTACCACAGAAATTAGTCACAGGTGTGAAATAATTGCTGGTGATCCATAACACTGCTTATTCCTTTCCGAATTTTTGACCTTAAAAGACAGTTGAGATTTTGCCAAGGGGAACTTTTTCAAAATCAGAACTCTTCCTTCTCCAGGCTCCGTGCCGTTGAGCAGGGGGGCAGGTGCCCGTTCCAGGCTTGTTTCCACCAAGCAGTCCCCTTATACCTGTAGCACAGGGGGACAGAGAGACGTCCAGACACTGAGCTTTCTCATAGGAAACGGAGTCAAAGGGTTCTCCCAAGGATGTTAGATTCCAAGATCTTGGAGGCCCGGAGGAATCTGACAGAATTTAATGAGATTACAGAAATGGAGCCAAATCCTATGACACGTTGTCAGGTAGGCTATTGCGGGGATAGGAGTGAGAGTGAAAGATGGCATTGATGGGCAGGTGTGTGACATGACAGATCACAGGAATCCAGGCTCCCAGCCTGTTAGCTCCTGGTTCTCAAAGTGTGGCCCTGGACCAGCAGCAGCAAACGTGCTAGAAATGCAGGCTCTTGGGTGGGGTCCGGAGATCAGGCTTTTAGCAGCTCCCCCATAGGGTGCATGGTAAATTCAGGAACCGCTGACCTCACTCGACTGCTTTGCACGTCTCCTTTGGCCTTGACCTCTGTGACTCTAACCATAGTTGTCCTCTTATGTGAAATGTCTTTCCTTCTCAATTTATATGTTTGAATTGGTGCCTTTGTGTCCTCCCAAGCAGCCTAACTGAAAAAGAGGTTTCCGAATCTTGAGCATCTAGAGTGGCCAAGGAACTAAACAGATTAAAAAGCCGACCAGAACGTTTGCTATATGAGGTCATGCAAGAAGTCATAGATTTTCCCTAAACAGAGGAGATGAGAAGGCTCAGATAGAGGAGGGAGGGAAGAAGACAGCCAAAGACAATAACAGAGAACAGAATCTCTGCTTTTTTTCAAAGACTGACTTAGTGTTAGATCCATCAACTACTCCCTTTCTGATAACTCTGCTCAAGGCACAAATACAAAACTAAAACCCACAAACAAGGGACTGATATCATACCTTGATAACCTAAGGAGGCCTTCATGCTCTCCCGAGTAGTTCTGCAAGTTGGAAGATGGGCCTTGATGGGTCATACCCATGGGCAGTGATGTCATTGAGGGTCTTTCCAGAAAGAAGTGTGACAGCCTCTGTTACACTGCTGATGGAGCCTGGTGTAGCTGACTGTGTGTGGCACTGAGTGCCATGGTAAATAAACAAACTGGCCTGTGAGCCACAGGGAGCTTGCCTCCAAAACTCAGAAATCGGAGTCTCAGCTTCTGACTCCCCCAGTCAGAGCAGAGCCCCCAGCTCGTGACTAGTCGTGATGAGTGTTCTTAGTGTGTGCTATCCATGCTGTGCAGTATCTGCTCCTCGCTTAGCAGTGAGTTGCCGTTCCAGAGACACGTAGTTATCCTGCCTCTGCCTAAAGCAAGAGCTTCCAAGGGGGAGAGTGCTGCCTCTCCATCTTGCTCATCAAAGAACTCCTAGGAGAGCTCTTCGCTGCTGGAGCAGATCACAGTGACAGGCCCTCTACCCACATCCCTGGCTAAGCTTCGAGAGGAGCACAATGAACTGCACCCAGAGACAGTGTCTGCCAAGATTTTCTTAGGCCCAGGTGAGGCTGAGTGGGGCTTCCGAGGCTCTCGCTCCTCCCACCTTGACCTGGCGGAGCTCTGAGTCGGCTTCCTGTCCTCAGCCAGCCTCGTCCTCGGAGGCCTGCAATCAGAGCCTGTGTCCAACAGTTCTGGGGGAGGGACGAGGGAATGAATATCTGGAAGAGCAAGGGATAAAGACCAGAGTAGAAATGTGTGTTGAAATGAAGCTCAGAGAGGGGAATGCAGCCAGGAAAGGGCCCAAAGGGTGGGGTCTACTGGGGCAGTTGAATTAAAAGTAGAGTTGGGTGTGACAAAATGATTAAGGAATCGGAGGCCTAATGGGCTGACAGAAGAGGCAAGTCTATGGCTCAGAAACTATATGCTTTTTTAAAAAGGTTCTTGTCATAGGGCATGTGTCTCCACAGGGAGGCAGTGAGACAGAAAGTGAGAAATCCACCTCCCTCCTCCCCCCACAGGGGAATGGCCATGCTACAGCCCCGTCTCTATTCTCCTCCTAGGATTTTGGGTGCATACACATACCTGGTGTGAATTTCAAGCTGCCAGGTATGGGGCGTGGTTGGCCATGTGGGAGTCCAGCACCTTAACCTCTGCACTACCTACGAGCCCCTAGAAACTATATTCTTATCTTAAGAACTTCATAGTTCCCCCTTCAAAGCAAAGATAAAGAGGAAAAATGCTGCTACAAATTATATATGTATGTGTCTGAGTTAGTGTAGTGTCTTTTTTGAAGTTTATGTATTTCCTTCATGAGCAAGCGAGAGCTAGAAAGAGAGACCCCCCTTTTACAAGGTCTGGATGCCATAGTCCGCCCCCAGCCTCAGCCCGCCCCAGATCATGAGCAAGCTTGTGCGTGTGTATGCAGGGAGGTCACCGGGTACAAATCTGGGACCTTCTCATGCGGCTCAGCCTCCGAGCACATTTCACCTTCAGGACACTGTCCAGTCCCTCAATTGTTATAATATCATTCCCTTTGAATTTTCTAAAAGAATATATTATAGTATGGTACATTGGCAATTCTTTACCGTTTAAAAGATTATATAGTCTTTAAAAAAATATATGTATGGGAGCCAGCAGATGGTATAGTGCTTAAGCACCGGACTCCTACCTGGTCAACTGCCGTTCCAGTCCTGGACCTGGTGGCATGAAACTCAGGCCAGAAGCATGTGCATGCATGCCCCAAATTCTGAGAGGACTATGGCCTGACCATCTCCACTGAGGGGTGATTTCTCACTTTCTGTCTCTCTGTCTCTCCAGTGAGCACACATACCCTATAGCAAAAATCTCTGTAAAGGAAAAAGAGGTGTGATTGCTCTTCATTGGTGGTTCTGGTGACTGTTTGCACCCTGGGCAGCAACCCTGTCAGCATGTGCCAGAGGCCACAGACAGAAGGCACTGTGAGACAGAGCTGGCTCAGCCGGAGTGACTCCAAGACCCTGCTGCTAGTGGTAGCTGAGCCCACCTAAGGGAGCCCCATTGTTCCATTTTCCAGGCAAAACTATAAAAGCCACTGAGGAAGTGGAAGAAATGGGGTGGGAAGAATCAGAAAGCACGTGGCTAGGAAGTGTTTCTCTAAATAATTACAGAAAATTAGGTGGCTGGTAAATTATATACACAAATATATCTCAGTCCACCCATCCACCTATCCATCCATAAATTGGAAGATCTACTCACACCCAGGCAGTGTGCTGGGTACCCAAAAACTCCCTCCCCTTGGCCCAGCAGGTGGATGCCACACCCCAAAGGCCCAGTTCAAGTCCCAGACCTGTTGGCTTAAAAAATGCACATGCCCAAAATCCTGAGAGGAAGAGAAGGGATTGTGGAATGGCCATCTTCCAGAGGTGCCTCTTCACCTTTTCTTTCTGTCTCTGGGAGTACAAGCGCCCTATAGCAAATTAAAAACAAAAACAAAACAAAATACCTCCCTGCTCTCGTGGAACTTGTGTACTAGTGAGGAGACAGACACATGTTAAACAGTACATCGGAGAGTGAGACGCGCTGTGGAGAAACACTCAACAGCAAACCCCACTCCCTGGTTCCTCCTAGTCCCTTGGGCGTGCTCCTTACTTACCTCATGAAGTCACAGCTACCTGGCCGTGTGTCTACCTGCTGAGCTAAAGTGAGAGGACCCCACTGGGTGGCTTTTGTTTTTTTTTTTAGTTTGCTATAAGGTGTATGCTTTTGCCACGGAGGAGGGTGTATGAGAAAGGGTAGTGGGTTTAGGTGAGGGAGCAGGAATTATCCCCCAGAGAAGGTAGCAGCTGGATAGGACGTGAAGGCAATAGACAAAGGAGTCATACAGATATGTGGGGGGAAGAACCTCCCAGCAGAGGGAGAGCTATGAAAAGGCCTTGGGGCAGGAGCATGGCTGGCGTGTCTGAGGAACAGAGAGGGCGCCAACGCAGCTGGAGAGTAGTGAACGTGGGGGAGCAGGAGCAGGCTGCGGCAGCCAGGGAGTAATTCGTGAGCTGTTGGAAAAACGTAGACTTTCCTAGGGTAAGCCAAGTGGCTTCTGCCTGTAGTTTGTTTTTATTGTTGTTTTGTTAGTGGTTTTGTTTTTATTTTAAGAGACAGGGTCTCGCGATATTGCCCATACTGGTCTCAAACTTGTGACCTCCCACCTCAGCCTTCCTAGTAGCTGGGATTACAAGTGCGTGCCACCAGGCTCCAGCCTGCCAGTGAAGGTTTGGAGCAGAAAAGCACATGCGCTGACATCCATCTGGCCGTGTCCCCGTGGCTGCTGAGTACAGAGTGGACAGCCAGCAAGAATAGGGGTGTAGCTAGGTGGCTCCTGCCTCCCGAGATGGTGGTCCTTGTCCTGGCAGCACTGGAGGTGATGTGGCCAGACCTCAGGACATCATGCTGATGTACCAGTTATGGGGTATGAGAGGGCAAGAAGTCAAGGATGCTCCAGGCAACAGCCCCAGGCCTGTCAGAGCAGAGCCGCCATTGACTGATGCAGGGAAGACTAAGAGACACGTGTGTGAGGGCAGGAAGACCAGGTCGGACCTTCAGGTTTGCAATGCCTGTTAGACATCCTGGTGGAGGTGTTGAGCAGGCAATTGAGAGAAAGCCTGAGTTCAGGGAAAGATCTGGAAATTAGGATCTGGGGAGCAACAACACGTGGAAGATAGGCAACCCATTCATCTGGAGGAGCTCACTAAGGAGTCTGTGTAGACAGAAATGAGGCGAGGTCCGAATAGA